CTTTAGCAGTCTCATTTAATTGGAATATCCCAACCCAAAGGTTTTGTGGATGAAAATTACCCAAATCATGTGTGCCGGTTACATAAATCAATTTATGGTATTAAACAAGTACCACATGCTTGGTTCCGCTGTCTCTCACAACACCTATTGGAATATGGCTTCAATGAGTCCACTGCTGATTACTCACTATTGATTTATACCACAAATTCAGTGAAATTGTATGCCTTAATTTACGTTGATGACTTACTAGTTACAGGTGCAATTGACTCTTTCATTCCATCACTAATGGATTCATTTCCTGTCACAGATCTGAGTGAACTAAGTTTCTTTCTAGGTGTCCAAGCAAGCCGAGACCAACATGGGCTACACCTACGACATATAAGGTACATAACAGACGTACTTAACAGTATCAAAATGGAGGGGGGTGCAAAACCTCTAAATTGTCCAACAACATTGGGCCTAAAACTCTCATCAACAGAAGGTGAACTACTATCTGATCCCACCGAATATCGACGAATAGTTGGAGCACTTCAATATTGTACCATCTCACATCCTGACATAGCATATACTGTGAATCAATTGTGCCAGTTTATGCCTAATCCACGCGATCCACATTGGGTTGCTGTGATACGTGTGCTTTGCTAACTAAAGGGTAGTATTGACTATGGCCTATATTTTTCACTGGGTGACATTCAACTAAATGCTTACTGTGACTCTGATTGGGCCGAAAGTTCAGATGATCGTCGAAGCACAACAGGTTACGGAGTCTTCCTAGGATCAAATCTTATAACCTGAACATCAAAGAAACAATCCATTGTTTCCAAAAGTAGCATAAAAGCCGAGTATCGAAGTCTTACCATATTCCATCTTAAAAGGTCAACCTTATTAAGAAGAGTAACCCAATCCTTTATAAGTTGGTTTATGTTTACATCTTTATTCGAAGTGGAATTATATCCCTTAACATGTCCCCGCAAGATGGTGGCTCATTTGAGCAGACCAATCTTGAAATCCATATACTGACTTTTGGAGTTTTAATCGGATCGAATTACTCATTAGAGATTAATGAGCTATGATACCATGTTAAGATTTGGGGTTCCATCTTAAAAGGTCAACCTTATTAAGAGGAGTAACACAATCTTTTATAAGTTGGTTTATGTTTACATCTTTATTTGGTATGAGATTCTATCCCTTAACATGTTCTCGCAAGATGGTGGTTTATTTGAGCAGACCAAACTTGAAATTTGTATGCTCATTTTTTGGAGTCTTAATCGGATCGAATTACTCGTTAGAGTTTAATGGGCCCTGATACCATGAAAGAACTCAAATAACAATTGGAAATAATCTGGTGGCAAAACCTGCCTTCTTCTCTGTTTCATTTTACTTAAATAATACACATATTACATCTTTACAAAACTAACTATGAAATGTATAGCTTTACAAAAATAAATGTGATTTGTGAAAAATGGAAATACAGAAAAGAATCATGGGATTATATCACACTGATTTGTGAGGAGATTGGGGAGGTGATTCGGCTGCTATTGGTTTGGGAAGTTCACGTATATATGATAGCTACGTTTTCGGGATCTTCATGATTGCTTTGTCCAGCTTGCTCGTTCTGTCTATTTTACTTATTCTGTCTAACATGCTCAACCTCGTTGAATTTACTATGGTCAAGTTGGATACAAAAGGCGTGAGCCAATTGACGTTATTAGCTTAATTTGACTTTAGTAGAAACTACTTTATTTTCTTTATTATTTAAATTCTTTTTTCAATGTCAATATTACAAAACATTATTTGTAGAAAAGAGAAGTTCTTGGCAATTTGTAAAATTGGTAAATTTTTTGTTTTAGTTTGAGGTGGTGAAAGGGTACTTTTTGTAATTTAAGTATGACAAAAAAAAAAAAAAACATGTGCTACAAATTATAATTGTATAATTGTCCCCTTTGTAGAAGCAATTGTGTCAATTTTCTTAATTTTGGGGAGGTTGAATAGAGTACTGAATTTTTCCAATGCCGTCGATTCATGTTCTGCCTCTCTATCAACATAATATACGGACTAATACTATGCACAAGCATTGCTCAACATATAAGAATTTTAACTTTTTATTTATTTTATGGGTCAAGTATTGTCTAATCGAGATTATCAAATATATTATTCACGTTTATTTACAGGATTGATGACATTTGAAAAATGTCTCACTAGTATGCAATTTCGTGAATGTGTTGTATATACATTCTTGTTCACTAGCGATATTCATGTTGGGTTTGTGACCTAAATTCGGTTAGATTTTTTTTGGAAAATTTTTGTTTCATTTATTCTGCGCATTTTTTATTGAAAAAAAAATATTGTTTCCTTTATTTCACACGTTTTGATAATATTTTCATTTTTAAAAATATTGTTAGGGTTTTGATATGTCCCATATATATAGTTGGCTCTTCTTTACGAGCTGAATTATTAGAAGGAATAATTGTGAAAAAAAAATTGTTGTAATTCTTTTTCCATTATAGTTGAATAAAATTTCCATATTCTGCTGAGTACGATTCAATGGGTTTGATCAGAGTTCTTTTTGTATCAATTTGCCTATTTATTTATTTATTATTTTTTTTTTATCTAGTCAAAACATATTCGAGTTATAAAGTATGATTACCCATTTGTTGTTGCAACACTTCCTAAAAAGAGTTGCATTTGATTAACTAGTTGGTGAGACGAGACAATAACTTACCAAGACAATGATCA